TGTTTGGGCGACTTCGGAATATCAAATTTTTCACCAGGCCCGGTCGTCCTGCCAAATTTCATGAGTTTTCGCCAGTGGGAAGTGGGCCATTTTCCAGTTCAAAGGGGAGGAAAAATAATAATAATAACAAAAGAAGGAAACTACAGGAACAAGAGGGCTCTCGCAGCTGCTTAGCAGCTACGCTCGGGCCCTAAAGAAACAAAGAAAAACCACTTGGGGAATAATAGGGCCTACGCCCGGCTGCTCTGCAGCTGGCTCGGGCCCTAATAATAACAAAAGAAGGAAACATGCAGGAACAAGAGGGCTCTCGCAGCTGCTTAGCAGCTACGCTCGGGCCCTAAAGAAAGAAAGAAAGAAAGAAAGAAAGAAAGAAACAAAGAAAAACCACTTGGGGAATAATAGGGCCTACGCCCGGCTGCTCTGCAGCTGGCTCGGGCCCTAAAAAACCCCTTGGGGAATAATAGGGCTCTCGCAGCTGCTTAGCAGCTACGCTCGGGCCCTAACTAGGACCCCGTTGGGGCACTGGCGGGCCCGAGCCGTGTCGCGTCCCCCCCCCCCCCCCAACATGCTGCCTCCCCGTCCCATTTGTGTCCTCTGGCCATCGCCCTCTCTGTTAACGCCCATCACTGCAAAGACCCTTTTCCTTCATCGGCGTTTGCTGTTCTTCCTGCCAGTGCGTGTTGCTTTCACTTACACTTGCCACAGCCAGCCTTGTGAGTGCCTAGCCTATTGGATATCACTGTCACCTACACAGGACAGTCATTACCTTTCTATTAATACTTTGTGTTTTAATTTCACATTAATTTCCATATTGTATAAACGACTGGAAAAAACTTGAGCCCCTGCCCCTGTATAATCATGTGCATGTCTCTGTTCTAGCTCCAAGGTGAATCTTCACTGCTCATGTTCTCCTCAGAAGCACTCACCTCACTCCCCTCAGGTTACTGTACACATGCACCAACTGCCTGCTTCAGGTTTGGATGGAGCTTCATGGTTGTCTTTTGGAGAAATGACCAGTCAAGTTGTGTTTGAAATTTGATTTTTTTCAGGGGCAAAAGGAGCCTCTGCATTCTTGTCAAATATGTAAATAGCATGTTTTTGCAGGTGCTAAAAACCAGACTCTGAGTGTGTGTGTGTGTGTGTGTGTGTGTGTGTGTGTGTGTGTGTGTGTCTGTGTGTGCGTTCAAGTCACATGACATATTTAACCGGATGTAGCTGCAAGACGGAGCCTCGTTGACTCTCCGTTTCAACTTATCTCAAAAGTGAGGACCTCAACCTATATACCAGTTTTTAAATTGTGTTGATAGGCCAAATAAAACCAGAGTTATGATAAATTATGTCCGCGATACTTTTTTTCTGCTTATTTTGATCACGTTCGGCGCTCGATCGCGCTGTATGAGACAGGAAAACATAGCATGCAGACATTAGCGACAGGTCTTACAGGCGGAAAAGGCTTGCCAAAAGAAAAAAAAAAACACACACAACATCTCTCCTATTGGTGGAAAACTTCACCACAACAACCAATCCAAAATTATATGGTGACTGATTGACAAGGGGCGGGCGCTTACGTTCTTCCTGCAACATGAGAAGGGAGGGAGGGACTCTCAGCAGGGATGCAGTCTGGGACACGTAGTTGCAAACCTAGCGACTTTGTTGTTAGATTCAATGACTTTTCAGACCCCCTAACGACTTTTTTTTAGAAAGAAAGGGACTTTTATCGACTTCTTCTGGAGTTTAGAGACTCTGACATGAAGCAGGCTTTCCTTACTGAGGAGTTAGCAACGCTGCTAAGGGTGCAGAGCCACACATGCGCTCAGAGCTCTGCATGGGAGACTGAAGCTGACAGAGCTGCAGCAGTTAGCAGGTTTCACCCTCAGAGACCACCAGGGGTTCATGTTGAGGCATTTTAATTTTTTTTTTTTTTGTGCCATAGACACTGTCAGCACAATCTGCAGTTACACTAACAAAAATGCTGCAAAAAACAAAGAATTATGGAAAAATTACACATGGACTGACATAGAGGAGGATCTACACAAGTTTTTTACATCATGTTTTACATCATGCATCATTTACATCATGTTTTTTTGTAGTGGCATAAATAAAAAGTGACATTTGTGAGACTATACAGTGTTTTGTAAATAATTTTACAAAGAACGCCTGGGCCATTGCCTGCATTTTGATGTAAATAGAGGTAAATTACTATGTTCTTTGTTAAAAATTTGCATATGTTTTGAAGTTTACAATTTTTATTTGAAGTTTAAGTTTTAAAAACAGTTCATCACACATATTTGTGGTTTAATTTCACATTAATTTCCATATTGTATAAATGACTGGAAAAAACTTGAGCCCCTGCCCCTGTATAATCATGTGCACGTCCCTGTTCTAGCTCCAAGGTGAATCTTCACTGCTCATGTTCTCCTCAGAAATAGTCACCTCACTCCCCTCAGGTTACTGTACACATGCACCAACTATCTGCTTCAGGTTTGAAATGGAGCTTCATGGTTGTCTTTTGGAGAAATGACCAGTCAAGTTGTGTTTGAAATTTGATTTTTTTCAGGGGCAAAAGGAAGCCTCTGCATTCTTGTCAAATATGTAAACAGCATGTTTTTGCAGGTGCTAAAAAACAGACTCTGAGTGTGTGTGTGTGTCTGTGTGTGTGTGTGTGTGTGTGTGTGTGTGTGTGTGTATGTTGGCGTGTGTGTATATGTGTGTGTATCCTGCAGTACTCTGTACTCCTGCAGTGGCCAAAAAGACTTTTAAGAATGTGGATTTTTGGGTCATCTTTGGCGCCCCCTAGAACTGCAATACTCTGTACTCCTGCAGTGGCCAAAATGACTTTTAAGAATGTGGATTTTTGGGTCATCTTTGGCGCCCCCTAGAACGTAAACCGTGGTGTGCAGCGTCATGATTTTTACAACTTTGAATGGGCATGGGGTGTAGATTGCCCTGAGCAAATTTGGTATCGGTGGGACGAAAGCCTTAGGAGGAGATAGCCACATTCCAATGTGTGCGAATCGGCAAAAAATGCAAAATAGCCCTTTAACCGTACATTATACAGATACGCGCTCTTTGACTTTTTCGTAGATCTAATTGAGATACACATGATTGTCAATTTTTGTGTCAATATGACAAAGCGTTCAGGCGTGACACTCAACAATGTGTATTTTCATGTAAGGGGACAAGAAAAAATTGACTTTTTCTCCTACCATGGGGGGGCGCTCTTTTGGGGAGTAAAAATTCCTTCACAAATGTGTTGATGGCTGGACATTGCATCATCCTAGAAAACTTGGAGGCCAGTGAGGACAAAAATAAAAAGTTATAAAACATTTAAGAATGTGGATTTTTGGGTTATTTTTGGCGCCCCCTAGAACCTAAACCATGGGGTGCAGCATCATGATTTGAATAACTTTTAATGGGCATGGGTTGTAGATTGGCCTGAGCAAATGTGGTGCCGGTGGAACGAAAGCCTTCGGAGGAGTTAGCGAAATTCCAATGTGTGCGTATCGGCAAAAAATGCGGAATAACCCTTTAACTGTACATTTGAAAGATACGCGCGCATGGACTTTTTTGTAGATCTTATTGAGTTACATGTGTGTGTCAATTTTTGTGTCATTTTGACAAAGCGTATAGGCGTGACACTCAACAATGTGTATTTTCACCTTAGGGGACAAGAAAAAATGGACTTTTTTCTCCTGCCATGGGGGGGCGCTCTTTTGGGGAATAAAAATTCCTTCACAAATGTGTTGATGGCTGGACATTGCATCATCCTAGAAAACTTGGAGGCCAGTGAGGACAAAAATAAAAAGTTATAAGACTTTTAAATATGTGGATTTTAGTGTTATCTTTGGCGCCCCCTAGAACCTAAACCTTGGGGTGCAGCGTCATGATTTTGATAACTTTTAATGGCCACGGGGTGTAGATTGGCCTGAGCAAATGTGGTGCCGGTGGAACGAAAGCCTTCGGAGGAGTTAGCGAAATTCCAATGTGTGCGGATCGGCAAAAAATGCGAAATAACCCTTTAACCGTAATTTTGACAGATACGCCCGCACTGACTTTTTTGTAGATCTTATTGAGATACATATGTGTGTCAATTTTTGTGTCAATATGACAAAGCGTACAGGCGTGACAGTCAATAGTGTGAATTTCCACCTTAGGGGGCGCTATGGAGCCATTTTGCATTTTATTGTTTGGGCGACTTCAGAATATCGAATTTTTCACCAGGCCCGGTCGTCCTGCCAAATTTCATGAGTTTTCGCCAGTGGGAAGTGGGCCATTTTCCAGTTCAAAGGGGAGGAAAAAGAAACAAAGAAAGACCACTTGGGGAATAATAGGGCCTACGCCCGGCTGCTCTGCAGCTGGCTCGGGCCCTAAAGAAAGAAACAAAGAACTAGGGCCCCGGTGGGGCACTGGCGGGCCCGAGCCGTGTCGCGCCGCCCCCAGTGCGACCGCCTACCCCTCCCGATCGCGTCACACTCAAGGTCCAAAGATGGTGTGCGCACTTGTCTGTGGTCATTTACCATTATAATGAATGGGAGGCGCAGTTTCTACCAAAACGCTCGCTGCAGACAAACTCCATGTCCTTTTTGAAAAAAGTCTGGACCATGAGTGAGGGCACAAACACAGCTAGTATATATCCAAATGGCAAGTTGCTCCTCCTTTCGGTTATGCCGAGAGAGCAATGCGTTTGAGCCATTGAGCGATGGGCAGGAAAAACTTGACTTTTTCTCCTGCCATGGGGGGGGCGCTCTTTTGGGGAGTAAAAATTCCTTCACAAATGTGTTGATGGCTGGACATTGCATCATCCTAGAAAACTTGGAGGCCAGTGAGGACAAAAATAAAAAGTTATAAGACTTTTAAGACTGTGGATTTTTGGGTTATCTTTGGCGCCCCCTAGAACCTAAACCGTGGGGTGCAGCGTCATGATTTGTACAACTTTGAATGGCCATGGGTTGTAGATTGGCCTGAGCAACTATGGTGTCAGTGGGACGAAAGCCTTCGGAGGAGTTAGCGAAATTCCAATGTGTGCGAATCGGCAAAAAATGCAAAATAGCCCTTTTACCGTACATTATACAGATACGCGCTCTTTGACTTTTTCGTAGATCTAATTGAGATACACATGATTGTTAATTTTTGTGTCAATATGACAAAGAGTTCAGGCGTGACACTCAACAATGTGTATTTTCACCTTAGGGGACAAGAAAAAATTGACTTTTTTCTCCTGCCATGGGGGGGGGCGCTCTTTTGGGGAGTAAAAATTCCTTCACAAATGTGTTGATGGCTGGACATTGCATCATCCTAGAAAACTTGGAGGCCAGTGAGGACAAAAATAAAAAGTTATAAGACTTTTAAATATTTGGATTTTAAGGGTTATCTTTGGCGCCCCCTAGAGCCTAAACCGTGGGGTGCAGCGTCATGATTTTTACAACTTTTAATGGCCATGGGGTGTAGATTGGCCTGAGCAAATTTGGTGCCGGTGGAACGAAAGCCTTCGGAGGAGTTAGCGAAATTCCAATGTGTGCGGATCGGCAAAAAATGCAAAATAGCCCTTTTACCGTACATTATACAGATACGCGCTCTTTGACTTTTTCGTAGATCTAATTGAGATACACATGATTGTCAATTTTTGTGTCAATATGACAAAGAGTTCAGGCGTGACACTCAACAATGTGTATTTTCACCTTAGGGGACAAGAAAAAATTGACTTTTTTCTCCTGCCATGGGGGGGCGCTCTTTTGGGGAGTAAAAATTCCTTCACACATGTGTTGATGGCTGGACATAGCATCATCCTAGAAAACTTGGAGGCCAGTGAGGACAAAAATAAAAAGTTATAAGACTTTTAAGAATGTGGATTTTTGGGTTATCTTTGGCGCCCCCTAGAACATAAACCGTGGGGTGCAGCGTCATGATTTGTACAACTTTGAATGGCCATGGGGTGTAGATTGGCCTGAGCAAATTTGGTGCCGGTGGAACGAAAGCCTTCGGAGGAGTTAGCGAAATTCCAATGTGTGCGGATCGGCAAAAAATGCGAAATAGCCCTTTAACCGTACATTTGACAGATACGCCCGCACTGACTTTTTTGTAGATCTTATTGAGATACACATGTGTGTCAAATTTTGTGTCATTTTGACAAAGCGTACAGGCGTCAGGTGAGTTTTCACCATAGGGGGCGCTATGGAGCCATTTTTCATTTTTTTGTTTGGGCGACTTCAGAATATCAAATTTTTCACCAGGCCCGGTCGTCCTGCCAAATTTCCTGAGTTTTCGCCAGTGGGAAGTGGGCCATTTTCCAGTTTAAAGCGGAGGAAAAATAACGAAAGAAGAATCCATCAGGAACAAGAGGGCTCTCGCAGCTGCTTAGCAGCTACGCTCGGGCCCTAATAATAACACTAGGACCCCGTTGGGGCACTGGCGGGCCCGAGCTGTGTCGCGTCCCCCCCCCCAACGCGCTGCCTCCCCGTCCCATTTGTGTCCTCTGGCCATCGCCCTCTCTGGTAACGCCCATCACTGCAAAGACCCTTTTCCTTCATCGGCGTTTGCTGTTCTTCCTGCCAGTGCGTGTTGCTTTCACTTACACTTGCCACAGCCAGCCTCGTGAGTGCCTAGCCTATTGGATATCACTGTCACCTACACAGGACAGTCATTACCTTTCTATTAATACTTTGTTTTTTAATTTCACATTAATTTCCATATTGTATAAACAACTGGAAAAAACTTGAGCCCCTGCCCCTGTATAATCATGTGCACGTCTCTGTTCTAGCTCTAAGGTGAATCTTCACTGCTCATGTTCTCCTCAGAAGCAGTCACCTCACTCCCCTCAGGTTACTGTACACATGCACCAACTGCCTGCTTCAGGTTTGGATGGAGCTTCATGGTTGTCTTTTGGAGAAATGACCAGTCAAGTTGTGTTTGAAATTTGATTTTTTTCAGGGGCAAAAGGAGCCTCTGCATTCTTGTCAAATATGTAAATAGCATGTTTTTGCAGGTGCTAAAAACCAGACTCTGAGTGTGTGTGTGTGCGTGTGTGTGTGTGTCTGTGTGTGTGTGTGTGTGTGTGTGTGTGTGTGTGTGTGTGTGTGCGTTCAAGTCACATGACATATTTAACCGGATGTAGCTGCAAGACGGAGCCTCGTTGACTCTCCGTTTCAATTTATCTCAAAAGTGAGGACCTCAACCTATATATCAGTTTTTAAATTGTGTTGATAGGCCAAATAAAACCAGAGTTATGATAAATTATGTCCACGATACTTGTTTTCTGCTTATTTTGATCACGTTCGGCGCTCGATCGCGCTGTATGAGACAGGAAAACATAGCATGCAGACATTAGCGACAGGTCTTACAGGCGGAAAAGACTTGCCAAAGGAAAAAAAACACACCACAACATCTCTCCTATTGGTGGAAAACTTCACCACAACAACCAATCCAAAATTATATGGTGACTGATTGACAAGGGGCGGGAACTTACGTTCTTCCTGCAATATGAGAAGGGAGGGAGGGACTCTCAGCAGGGATGCAGTCTGGGACACGTAGTTGCAAACCTAGCGACTTTGTTGTTAGATTCAATGACTTTTCAGACCCCCTAACGACTTTTTTTTAGAAAGAAAGTGACTTTTATCGACTTCTTCTGGAGTTTAGAGACTCTGACATGAAGCAGGCTTTCCTTACTGAGGAGTTAGCAACGCTGCTAAGGGTGCAGAGCCACACATGCGCTCCGAGCTCTGCATGGGAGACTGAAGCTGACAGAGCTGCAGCAGTTAGCAGGTTTCACCCTCAGAGACCACCAGGGGTTCATGTTGAGGCATTTTCAGTTTTTTTTTTTTTTTTTTGCCATAGACACTGTCAGCACAATCTGCAGTTACACTAACAAAAATGCTGCAAAAAACAAAGAATTATGGAAAAATTACACATGGACTAACATAGAGGAGGATCTACACAAGTTTTTTACATCATGTTTTACATCATGCATCATTTACATCATGTTTTTTTGTAGTGGCATAAATAAAAAGTGACATTTGTGAGACTATACAGTGTTTTGTAAATAATTTTACAAAGAACACCTGGGCCATTGCCTGCATTTTGATGTCAATAGAGGTAAATTACTATGTTCTTTGTTAAAAATTTGCATATGTTTTGAAGTTTACAATTTTTATTTGAAGTTTAAGTTTTAAAAACAGTTCATCACACATATTTGTGGTTTTCACAGTAAAAACGTTACTTTTTTCCACTAGGATTTTATGTTTTGTGTGTGAATTTGGGTCCAATGTGTAAATATAGTATGTCAAAATGATAAAATAACTGTAAATTGACACAGGTGAGGTTGTGCTGAAAAAAATGATACCAGGCAAGGCAAGGTAAAAATTTTGTAAGAGGAAATATAAAGGTAAAATCTAAAGTAGTCAAAAACGGCCAATAGTGACTCACAGACTCCACAGACAAGTCCCTTTGGCGCCACTCAGTGGGCAAAACTACTTTGTCTACTGTAATGTATATTTGGGTCATCTTTGGCGCCCCCTAAAACGTAAACCGTGGGGTGCAGCGTCATGATTTTTACAACTTTGAATGGCCATGGAGTGTAGATTGGCCTGAGCAAATTTGGTGTCAGTGGGACGAAAGCCTTAGGAGGAGTTAGCGAAATTCCAATGTGTGCGAATCGGCAAAAAATGCAAAATAGCCCTTTTACCGTACATTATACAGATACGCGCTGATTGACTTTTTCGTAGATCTAATTGAGATACACATGATTGTCAATTTTTGTGTCATTTTGCCAAAGCGTACAGGCGTGACAGTCAACAATGTGTATTTTCACCTTGGGGGACAAGAAAAAATGGACTTTTTTCTCCTGCCATGGGGGGGCGCTCTTTTGGGGAGTAAAAATTCCTTCACAAATGTGTTGATGGCTGGACATTGCATCATCCTAGAAAACTTGGAGGCCAGTGAGGACAAAAATAAAAAGTTATAAGACTTTTAAAAATGTGGATTTTTGGGTTATCTTTGGCGCCCCCTAGAACGTAAACCGTGGGGTGCAGCGTCATGATTTGAATAACTTTTAATGGCCATGGGGTGTAATTTGGCCTGAGCAAATGTGGTGCCGGTGGAACGAAAGCCTTCGGAGGAGTTAGCGAAATTCCAATGTGTGCGAATCGGCAAAAAATGCGGAATAACCCTTTAACCGTACATTAGACAGATACGCGCGCATGGACTTTTTTGTAGATCTTATTGAGATACATGTGTGTGTCAATTTTTGTGTCATTTTGACAAAGCGTACAGGCGTGACACTCAAAAATGTGTATTTTCACATTAGGGGACAAGAAAAAAATGGACTTTTTTCTCCTGCCATGGGGGGGCGCTCTTTTGGGGAGTAAAAATTCCTTCACAAATGTGTTGATGGCTGGACATTGCATCATCCTAGAAAACTTGGAGGCCAGTGAGGGCAAAAATAAAAAGTTATAAGACTTTTAAAAATGTGGATTTTAGGGTTATCTTTGGCGCCCCCTAGAACCTAAACCGTGGGGTGCAGCGTCATGATTTGAATAACTTTTAATGGCCATGGGGTGTAGATTGGCCTGAGCAAATGTGGTGCCGGTGGAACGAAAGCCTTCGGAGGAGTTAGCGAAATTCCAATGTGTGCGGATCGGCAAAAAATGCGAAATAACCCTTTAACCGTACATTTGACAGATACGCCCGCACTGACTTTTTTGTAGATCTTATTGAGATACATGTGTGTGTCAATTTTTGTGTCATTTTGACAAAGCGTACAGGCGTGACAGTCAATAGTGTGAATTTTCACCTTAGGGGGCGCTATGGAGCCATTTTGCATTTTCTTGTTTGGGCGACTTCGGAATATCAAATTTTTCACCAGGCCCGGTCGTCCTGCCAAATTTCCTGAGTTTTCGCCAGTGGGAAGTGGGCCATTTTCCAGTTCAAAGGGGAGGAAAAAGAAGAAAGAACTAGGGCCCCGGTGGGGCACTGTCGGGCCCGAGCCGCGTCGTGCCGCCCCCAGCGTGACCGCCTCCCCCTCCCGATCGCGTCACACTCAAGGTCCAAAGATGGTGTGCGCACTTGTCTGTGGTCATTTCCCATTATAATGAATGGGAGGCGCAGTTTCTACCAAAACACTCGCTGCAGACAAACTTCATGTCCTATTTGAAAAAAGTCTGGACCATGAGTTAGGGGAAAAACACAGCTGGGATATATCCAAATGGCAGGTTGCTCCTCGTTACGGTGTTGCCTGGAGAGCGATGCGATTGAGCCATTGAGTGATGGGCAGGAAAAACTTGACTTTTTCTCCTGGCATGGGGGGGGGGAGAATGTGGATTCTTTTAAGAATGTGGATTTTTTGGTCATCTTTGGCGCCCCCTAGAACGTAAACCGTGGGGTGCAGCGTCATGATTTTTACAACTTTGAATGGCCATGGGGTGTAGATTGGCCTGAGCAAATTTGGTTTCAGTGGGACGAAAGCCTTAGGAGGAGTTAGCCACATTCCAATGTGTGCGAATCGGCAAAAAATGCAAAAAATCCCTCTAACCGTACATTTGACAGATACGCACCCATTGACTTTTTCGTAGATCTTATTGAGATACACGTGATTGTCAAATTTTGTGTCAATATGACAAAGCGTACAGGTGTCACACTCAACAATGTGAATTTTCACCTTACGGGACAAGAAAAAATTGACTTTTTTGTCCTGCCATGGGGGGGCGCTCTTTTGGGGAGTAAAAATTCCTTCACAAATGTGTTGATGGCTGGACATTGCATCATCCTAGAAAACTTGGAGGCCAGTGAGGGCAAAAATAAAAAGTTATAAAACTTTTAAGAATGTGGATTTTAGGGTTATTTTTGGCGCCCCCTAGAACCTAAACCATGGGGTGCAGCATCATGATTTGTACAACTTTGAATGGCCATGGAGTGTAGATTGGCCTGAGCAAATGTGGTGCCGGTGGACCGAAAGCCTTCGGAGGAGTTAGTGAAATTCCAATGTGTGCGGATCGGCAAAAAATGCGAAATAACCCTCTAACCGTACATTTGACAGATACGCCCGCACTGACTTTTTTGTAGATCTTATTGAGATACATGTGTGTGTCAATTTTTGTGTCAATATGACAAAGCGTACAGGCGTGACAGTCAATAGTGTGAATTTTCACCTTAGGGGGCGCTATGGAGCCATTTTGTATTTTATTGTTTGGGCGACTTCAGAATATCGAATTTTTCACCAGGCCCGGTCGTCCTGCCAAATTTCATGAGTTTTCGCCAGTGGGAAGTGGGCCATTTTCCCCTTCAAAGGGGAGGAAAAATAAGACTAGGACCCCGTTGGGGCACTGGCGGGCCCGAGCCGTGTCGCCCCCCCCCCCCCCCCCCCAACGTGCTGCCTCCCCGTCCCATTTGTGTCCTCTGGCCATCGCCCTCTCTGGTAACGCCCATCACTGCAAAGACCCTTTTCCTTCATCGGCGTTTGCTGTTCTTCCTGCCAGTGCGTGTTGCTTTCACTTACACTTGCCACAGCCAGCCTCGTGAGTGCCTAGCCTATTGGATATCACTGTCACCTACACAGGACAGTCATTACCTTTCTATTAATACTTTGTGTTTTAATTTCACATTAATTTCCATATTGTATAAACGACTGGAAAAAACTTGAGCCCCTGCCCCTGTATAATCATGTGCATGTCTCTGTTCTAGCTCCAAGGTGAATCTTCACTGCTCATGTTCTCCTCAGAAGCACTCACCTCACTCCCCTCAGGTTACTGTACACATGCACCAACTGCCTGCTTCAGGTTTGGATGGAGCTTCATGGTTGTCTTTTGGAGAAATGACCAGTCAAGTTGTGTTTGAAATTTGATTTTTTTCAGGGGCAAAAGGAGCCTCTGCATTCTTGTCAAATATGTAAATAGCATGTTTTTGCAGGTGCTAAAAACCGGACTCTGAGTGTGTGTGTGTGTGTGTGTCTGTGTGTGCGTTCAAGTCACATGACATATTTAACCGGATGTAGCTGCAAGACGGAGCCTCGTTGACTCTCCGTTTCAACTTATCTCAAAAGTGAGGACCTCAACCTATATACCAGTTTTTAGATTGTGTTGATAGGCCAAATAAAACCAGAGTTATGATAAATTATGTCCGCGATACTTTTTTTCTGCTTATTTTGATCACGTTCGGCGCTCGATCGCGCTGTATGAGACAGGAAAACATAGCATGCAGACATTAGCGACAGGTCTCACAGGCGGAAAAGGCTTGCCAAAAGAAAAAAAAAACACACCACAACATCTCTCCTATTGGTGGAAAACTTCACCACAACAACCAATCCAAAATTATATGGTGACTGATTGACAAGGGGCGGGCGCTTACGTTCTTCCTGCAACATGAGAAGCGAGGGAGGGACTCTCAGCAGGGATGCAGTCTGGGACACGTAGTTGCAAACCTAGCGACTTTGTTGTTAGATTCAATGACTTTTCAGACCCCCTAATGACTTTTTTTTAGAAAGAAAGTGACTTTTATCGACTTCTTCTGGAGTTTAGAGACTCTGACATGAAGCAGGCAACGCTGCTAAGGGTGCAGAGCCACACATGCGCTCAGAGCTCTGCATGGGAGACTGAAGCTGACAGAGCTGCAGCAGTTAGCAGGTTTCACCCTCAGAGACCACCAGGGGTTCATGTTGAGGCATTTTCATTTTTTTTTTTTTTGTGCCATAGACACTGTCAGCACAATCTGCAGTTACACTAAC